CCATCCAGCTAGCAGCTTTTCTCCACACAGAAGGGGCCACTCCCTGTAATTCCTGTGTGAGAAGTGTGGGAGAGGCCCCAGTCACAGGAATGCACCCCCCAATCTCTCAACCTCAGTCTCCAGGGAAGCCACACTGTTTCTTGGGACTTTATTGTGTCTGTCACAGCTTTCAAGGAGGCAGGGAACATCTGGGAGATGAGGAAACAACATTGCCTAGAATACCAGGTGAAAACTAGTTGAAAAGTCAACGGTGGGAATGGAAAAATGCTCCCTTAGTATTTTAAAATGCTTTACACTATCGAAAGAAATTACCTATTATCCCAAAGTGTGCACTTGATTGAGTGCACTTCAAGAGCATTTGGAGAATTTTAAAACATAAAAAAACCAAAACAAACAAAAAGAAACCAAAGGAAGTAGAAGGTCAGTGAAATACTGTGATATAGGAATACAATATTGTATTGTAGACAGAAAATGCCAAAGAAATGTTCACATGTGGTAAATAACAACGCTCTCACCTAAGTTTTCAAAATCACCAAGCAAAACAATGTGTCTACAAATATTATCTTTCTTTAAGACCTAGATGCACGCGTAAAGACAATTTGTCTTGTTATACTAATACAGACATAACAGATTCCTCAAAACAGGTTCAAAATTGGATAAGAAAAAATGACCCAAGAATTAATTAAATATGAGATTGAAATAAACAAAGGACAAATTATCATATCTATCTATATCTATATCTATATCTATATCTATATCTATATATCTATCTATATTTATCTATCTCTATCTATCTATCTATCTATCTATCTATCTATATAAAAGGCTAATATGCTAAGTGTCCAACTGTTTGATCTGTCGCTATGATGTGCACTGACCACCAGGGGGCAGACACTCAACACAGGAGCTGCAGAGCTGCGGTGACTTGGCAGTGGAGGTTCTCAGGTGATGCACTCCAAAACCAGACATGAAGGAGCCCAATTCCACCTCGGGCCGTGGGTTACATTGCTGCTGGGGTACTGTCAGCCATGAATCTGGTTTCCTGCACACTTGTGTTTGCATTCCACACCCTGTATGACAGCAACTTTGCAGAGTGCCCTCTCTCACTCAGGGACCCCTTGGGGGATGTCAGAGAGCCGGTGTTGGCCCGATCCCCACAGGCCAGGCCAAGGGACCCAACCTGTTGGAGGGACCCGACTCCCTCTGCAAACATTGGGGAGGGACCGTGGGAGGTTGGCTCCAGGGTACAACCAGCCCATCTCGCCCAGTCCCACCCTGCTGGCCACCTTCTAATTAATTTCCTTTCAATGTACATGAATCCATGCATTGGGTCACTAGCATCAAAATAAAAGATAAGAAACATGATTAAATTAGGTTTCAAAAGACCTGGGATAAAGTTATAAAAGGGATACTATGCATCTACCTGGTTTTTATTCTTTCATGATTTAATTTCTTATTTTATTCACTACCATCTGATAATTGCATGAAACACTTATTCTAACCATGGGCAATTTAGAACATTTTAATTTTTATTTCAAGGCTACGAGACAAAGGAATCTATTTATTGCCTAAGGGGATTTTTTTTTTTTTAAACAAAAATTAAAGCTTAATCTTTCATGTTTTAAAGCATAGATGGTTTAAAATCATTTATAATAATGCTGTAGGGAGACTGTTCCTGGCAAAAATTGAAATGATAAATTTACAATTAAAAGAATTAATAGTTTAGGGGATTGAATGCCCCTTTCCTTTCTAGATAGATTTGTCTGAAGCATAAGAGACATCTTTAAAAACAGGGCAAAGCCAAGGCCTGTACAGGAGTGGTGCACTTCAGTTTGATGGAGTTGTTCATGGAACAATAGTAAGCCTCGCTTTTTATTATTTAAAAAAAATAAGCAATGACATTGGCCTTGGCAACCATTTTTCCCCCCCATAGGAAATTGCTCTGATGAAGTGGAGAGCCATGAATTCTATACTAACCACGTTTTCTGTGACTTTGAAAGAGTCCCTGATGGAAATTAGACAAATAATTTACTTTCACTTAAATGCCAGATTTTTTAGTTACACTTAAGAAAAATAATTGAAATATAGATTTAAATCATTTCTGCTGCTACACTTCAGGATTCTAATGAAATACTTTCAGCTATTATGCAAAGCATTCCTCAGTGGAGGGAGGAAAGCCATGCTCCACGATTCCTGGTTAGCAGAGGCGGTGCAAGGACAGCTCTGAGAGCAAAGGGAAGGACACCTTGCTGGCGGTGGGCAGGAAGGGAGGGGACCCATCTCAGGACACAGGATGCCTTTCTGTAAGGCCCCAGGAAAAATCTGAAAAGGGTCAAATATATTTAAAGTTCCTTAAATACGTCAGGCATCATCCTAGGCTGCCTAAGTACACTGCATCTTAACAAGGTTACGCCATCTCTGGCCAGTGTGGCTCAGTTGGTTGGACATCGTCTTGACTGAGAGACTGCTGGTTTGATTTCCAGCTCTCCCTCTCTTTTCCTCTCTCTCAAAACCAATATTTTTTTTTTTTTTTTTTAAAGAAGGTTATACCATATTTGTGCTCCTGACCACATTGGAGGAAATGGATGTGGAGCCATGAATGAGACCTCACCTCCATGCCCCTAACCCTCACCCTGCTCAGCACCACAGTCTCCTTGCTAGTGTGTGATCATGCCAAGCTCCCTCCTGCCTCCCAACTGCTTGGTCTTTTGATGCCCTGTCCCTAGATGTCAACATGGCTTCCCCTCCTCTTTACTCAGGTTTCTGCTGCAATGTCACCTTTTCCGAGAAAGAAAGCCGCTTCCAACCCCTTTCCTCTCTCCACCTTGCTGCCTGGTCTCTCCTCACAGCGTGTGTCCATTGCGTGCAGGGCACACACTCGCTTGCTTCTTGTCCGTTACCCTGGTGGGCTGGAAGTGGAATGACAGAAGGGGACAGACTGTCCCTTCTGTTCGCTGCTCTGCCCCAGCTCCCAGGGCAGCGCCTGACACTGTCCGACTGTACCATCTACCACTCACAGTACCACACGGAGTACCTCCCACCCGCTTTTGAGCTCTGCTTCTCAAACCAACACGTCCTCTTACAAAGAATGAAATATGTGAATATTAGTTTTGATTCCCTGGAACCAAGGCACATTCCAGAACAAAATCATGACAGAAGAATATATTTTAATAAAGTCAAATGAACCCTTAACAAGCAAACAACAGGCCACATACCCTTAGCCTGTCAGAATAACAGCATAATTTTAATGTAACTACAATAATATATCAAAGTTTAATGTAAGGAACCATGGTCCGAACTGTGGCCTATATGGCTCTTTGTCATACAAGGAAGAGAGTTTTCATAAGAAAAAGAGTTTTCTTCTTTCTACCATGTTACCAGTGATTTGATCAGTTCCTGCTGGTTATGAAGGTAATTTTTCCAAGACTGGAAAAATTAGAAAAATTTACTTTAGACAAAATAAAGTTAATATTGTTTTCTCTTAAAAAAAAAAAAAAGGTGCAAATCCTCATCCTTTTTAAATAAACAAAAAAGTGTTCAGATTTTTGAGTGACTTTTAGTTTCTTTCTCTCCAATAAAATATAGTTAAAAAGGTCAGCTTCTGACTAAAGATACAATAAAATGTGTGATGTTTTAATAAAATAATTTCACAGCCTTCGTAGGGGAGATAAAAATTCTTATTTGAGAAAATACTTTACAATCAGATTTATGGAACAAGTCAGAGAGGTTAATTTTAAAAATTGTTTTTAAGAAAAAATCCTTATTTTTATAAGTGGTATTTATCATGTCAAAAAAGTTTATTTCTTAAAAAGAGTCACTATATGAATTATTTAAATAACAAACGCATCATTAATTGCATTAGAGCTATAACTTAATTGGTTGGAAAAAATGACAAAGTTGTTTCTTAGGAACACCATTTGTTTCAGGGAACGAGGCCCACCTAGAGGAATGGTGCACTTCTAAAGGCAATTTAGAGAATGGAGTCAATGCTCTATGGGCTGCTGCTATGAGATCACAGCACATTAAGGACAAATCCCCCAGCTCTTCCTAAACATCCCCTGGATTTCTCCCTCCAAACTGTGCTCGGAGGGAAATGTCTCACTGTTTTAGAGACAAACCGAGGGCTATTGCCTTCCTCCCCGATGTCAAAAGCCTTAAGCCAGCTGGTCAGCGGAGTGCTGCAGCTTTCATTTTTTTCTCAAAGAAAACCAGTGTTGTTACATAAAAGCGTTTTCAACACTTAGCTAGTCTTCTGGGCATAGCTGGCAGAGGGTCATGAGGTTTTTAGAGTTAGAGAGAGTTTGGAGATTGTCCAGGCCAACTCCTCCACCCACCAGAGGAGGAGGTGAGGTCATTTATCAAGGTCTAGAAAATTCTGAGAGGAGGAGAAGCCAGCGCAACATTTCTTAACAAACAAATCATGGTTTCCAAGCAACCCCATTAGGTCTGGCTTGTGTGAAAGGAAAATGGCATCTGCTTTTGAATAAGGCATCAACATATGTGAGGAAAGACTTTGCATGACACAGCCCAGGCATGACCTCAGACAGGCAACAAAGGTGGCCCCTCTGGACTGGGCTTTAAAGTCAAACGAGAAGAACGGTGGTGGTGAGAAATGTAACACTGCAATGATTAGGGCTGCTGAGATTGAACAGAGAATTCTTAAATTGCTAAAAAGAGAGGGGGGGGGAGGGAGGGGAGAAAAAGCATGACTAAGAGATTGAAGCACTTCATAATGGTGGAGACCTAGTGAGGATTGAGTGGACAGCATTTTGAAACAAAATGGATGTGTGAGAACCACTAGCATGGTGGATTCTCTCAGAGAAAAAACCTTTTTCCGTTGGAAAATAAAACACACATGTTGAAAAGTTTGGTTCTTCAAAAATAAAGAAACAAGTTCCCCCCCGATGCCCAGGTCAGCTCGCTGGCTGCCTGGGCACGCCTGCCCTGCCCGTGGCACCGGGTGTGTGCAGACCTGGGTGCCCTTTGTCACGTCCTCTTACCGGGGCTGGTGAGGGCTCCCAGGGCGCTGCTCGTGGTGGACAGAGGGTTAGCGTTGGTGGTGGTGGCTGAGGTCTGGGCTGCGGCTGCAGCGGCCGCCAGCGTGGCCAGATTCTGTAACTGTAAAGCGTTCATGCCTGCCAGAGGAAGAGAAAGGTGCCGTTAGCCACAGACCCCCTTTGCCGGGCAGATGACGGCCACAGAGCCCGCCCTGGGATGTAAGCCCTGGCGACCTGTGTGTCTCCTAACTTCTCAGCACCATCATCTCCCTGTGGTGCTGCCTGTCCTACCCCAGGATGCCCTTCGCAGATCGGTTCAGGGCTGAGAGATCATCGGAAAAGACGGGTGGAGATTGCTCTGTGTGCATTGGCCACAGCCGGGCCTTCCACCAGAGAACTGTCTAGAAGAGGTGAGGTCTGGGCTTGGACAAGGTGGGGGTCCAAGGGGTAAACTCTCAGTCTCTAAACTTGATAGATGCATATAGAGAGAAAAGGAAAACTTACTGGGGCAAAGCTTTTGCTTTGAAGCTGAACTGATAGGGCTTCCTGGCTCCGCCCTTTGTACCTGCTGTGTGACTCTGGGTAAATTACTTAACCTCTCTGTTTCTTGTTCAGGGTGTGGAAGTATTAACTGTATCTTACCTCAAAGGGCTGTTGTGAAGACTATATAAGATGGTGAATGCAAATCACTCAGCACAGTGACTGACTGGTTCAATGTAAGCCCCCAATGGTATTGATGAAGCGCCAGAGAATGTTCTGGCAACCTACCTGCCAAGGCCCCACGCCGCAGCTCTGGAGCCTTCAGTCTAAGCAGCCTCTGCCCAGGACTGCCAAGCTCCCCCACCCTCTGTCCTGACCCCTCAGTCAGGACTTATCCACTCAGAAAAGAATTCTTAATGTCTTTGCTGCAAAATGGGCTCTCATTTTGCTCAAATTGATATTCCACCTTCTTCCCAGAGGTGCCCAGCTCTACTGGCTCAGGGGGAGAGCCAACACCCGTTTTCCAAAACCCACTTGGTTCTGGGGATTCTGGGAAGCAGGACACATGCAGGTTGGAGTCCTGTGAGCGCAACCTGCTGGCAAGCCCCGCCACCAGACAAGGCGCTGCAGGCCATGTATGAGGATGTGGAGTGCGGAAAGCACAGTCTTGTCAGGTTTGCTCTAGGAGAACGGAACCGGGGGAGTACAGGAGCCGCCTGGCTTCGGCGCAGACCCACCCGGACCCGGTGAGGGGCGACTCCTAAAGGCTGCATGGATGCACCTCACACTTGTGACAAGAGCGTGGGCCTCGAGTGCCGCTGCCAGGAGTGAGGAACATGTGTGTACCCATCTGTCCCCCGTTGGCTCTCCAGCGACAAATGTTCCCTCTGATGTTTTAATCATAGAAACCAGATGACCAGGCTATACTGCTCACAGCTGGCTGCACAGCAAGAGGAGGGTTTAGCACTAAAATGAAAACCTGCAATGCACATCTGGCATCCGTTAATGATATGGAGATACACTATCGTAGGCCCAGGTTCAGAGTCCTCCTCAGGGACAGCTCCTCCGACCTGCCCCAGGCAAGAGCCGTGCCGGAGGGCAGAGTTCCCGAGCCTGAAGGACCTCAGCCCACTCGCCTGGGTCAGAGACTCAGGCCACAGGGCACAGAGCCAACGGTGGCAGAACCTCCCATCCGGGGCAGCCCTGCAGCCACACCTCACACGGGCACGTACTTTCTGTGTGTTCCCTGCACACTCCCTCATCTCCTTGTTCTTAACTCTGGTGTCACTCATTCACCATCTCTCACTTTGATGCTATTTTTGTGTATTTCTTACCTTTATAGCTAGGTACCAAGCTCCTTGAGGACAAAGATGAAAGATGTTGTCTTAATCATTATCAAGTCCACCTATGCCCACATGCATACACACACGTAGACACACATAAGCGCACACGCGCATGCGCACACTGCTGTCTACATAGCAGGCGATGGTGACTCCATGTAGGGCAAGTGGGCAGAGAAATGAACAGTACTTACTGTCCATAGAGCCATCCAAGTGCTTAGCTTTCTCCAGTTTTGTCAGCTCGTCAGTATTGACAATGCATCAAGTATTGACTGTTTCTCTCAATCGTTAGTTAATCCGTTCTACAAATATTTAGTAGAGCCTAGTGTACCCCTTCATCTCATCACTAACGCTCCATAGAGGTCCTGGAGTCTGGCCATACCACTCAGCTGCGCTACCCATTGCCCTCTCCACTAGGGAGCCCGGCCAGGCCCTGTGTGTCCCTTGGGGCCCCCTCTGCATTCCTTCCGGTGCTTCACCACCGGAAGCGTGCCAGCCGCTCAGGCTCCCCTGCTTCAGCTAGAAAAGCCAGGCAGGGGATCTTGGCTCCAGAAGAGCACCGCATGGCAGGGGAGCAAGAGGAAGGGGAGGCACTCTGTTCAACCCTCGCGCACGGAAAGGAAGAAAATGTGGGCTGAAGCAGAGATGGTGTGTGGAAAGGAGAGGCTGCAATGATCCCTATCACCGGAGGGATTAGGGCAATGGTTGGCAAACTGCGGCTCGAGAGCCGTATGCGGCTCTTTGGCACCTTGAGTGTTCTAACGCCGTTTCTTCAAAATAGACTCGCCCAGGCTGACAAACAACTTCTGCACATGGGCCACGAAATTTCAATCCACTGTATGTGCACGCCTGCATGTGGTATTTTGTGGAAGAGCCACACTCAAGGGGCCAAAGAGCCGCATGTGGCTCTCGAGCCATGGTTTGCTGACAAACTGGATTAGGGGGAGAGAAACGGAAGGGTTAGATGGAGAGAACCAGCAGAGGGCAGCACATGTATGTGCCTGCCCATCTATATACCTGTCTGTCCGATCAAGTGTCCACCCACTCACCCACCCACCCACCCATCCATCTGCCCATGCATCCATTCACTCATCTGTCCATCCTTTACTGAGTGACCATATGAGCCAGACCCGGGTACTGCACTGAGAATTAAGCAGAAAATGAGACAGTCCCTGCCTGCAAAGAGACACTGCATATTGGAGCAGGGAGGAGCCAGGAGCTGGGGGATAATCCTGCTGTCAGTTTCTGGAACTCAGAAACTCTCTCACTGGTCTCTAGTTTGCCGGGGATGAGACAGCACAGGAAGGCACTGGGCGGCTGAAGTGCTCAAGGGGGAGGGGCCATGCCCATCCTCTATCCTAGTCCTTTCAGGTGAGATAACCCTGGCAGGATTCAAGGTGCCCCTTCCCCACTCACTCCCAGACAGAAGTGCTCAGCACCCCAGAGGTGGTCAGGGTGGTTCCTGGCTGCCTATGCTGGTGGGCCCCATCTCCAGCCCCGACCCCCACACTTCTCCTTCTCAATGCAGAGGCATCTCTTCATCTCCCTGTCCTGAGTTCCTGGGGCCTCGGATGCACAGGCTTCTCTGCTGGTGACAACTGCCACTTACTGGAGGCAGCACGGCTGATGGAGAGGAGTGCAGGTTTCCACCTGGGTTCTGCCTCACCTCCTGCCAACCAACCTCCCTGAGCAAACTGCTTGGCTGCCTGTGCCTCGGACTTCTCAGCTGTGAAGTGGGGATAAAACGGAGCCCGTACTGCCTACAGCATGGGTCCTTGGGGACTGTGGTTTTGGCTCTTCCAGCCTCTCACAACGAGGAGCCCTCAGCCATGGTGTGGACTTCTCAATTAGGAAGGGGGCTTGGGGGCCACACTGCTTCCAGAAACTCAGAAAGCAGCTTGGGAAGCCCACGGGGACCAGCTTGCAGCTCCTCTCTCTGCCTCCGTAACAGCACCAGACTCGCTGGCGCACTGACTGCATCCGTCTCTTCAGGCGACACCCGCCGCCGATCACCTGCTCCCGGCTGGAGCGAGCCCTCTCTCCTTTACCTCTGCGCCGGGCCAACACTGAGGCCCCAGCGCCCCACTGACAGGGGGTTTCTGCTTCTGCTCACTTCGAGTTCACATTTATGGTTCTTTTCATATTTAAAAAAATTTTTTTTAATTGATTTCCGAGAGGCAGGGAGAGGGAGATTGAAACATCAATGATGAGAGAGAATCACTGATCAGCTGCCTCCTGCACGCCCCCCACTGGGGATGGAGCCCACAACCCAGGCATGTGCCCTGATGGGGAATCAAACTGTGACCTACTGGTTCAGAGGTTGATGCTCTACCACTGTTCCAGGCCGGCTGGGCTTTTCCATCTTTTTTTTTTCTTTTTTTTTTCCGGGTGGGGATGTGGGGGGAGTCAGAGCGTATCCTTCCTCTGTCTCAGCTCCTTTCACAGGCACCTCCTGGGTCCTGCCCTCTCCACCCGCCTGCTCCCACTTTCCCCTTCCCGCAGCTCCTGTGCTGCTGCCTTAGGATGATCCAGAAAGGGCAGCAGACGAGAGCAGAGGGCGGCATCCCGGGAAAGCTGAATCTGACTGGGCACAGGGCTCATTTCTAAGAAGAAAGCCATCACTGTGAACCTCATGAAGAGCTCTGCTTGGATGGACACCCTCAAAACAGGGGCGATGATCTGGGTGACTAGAAATGCAATGCATTTGCGTAAGTTTTATGAAATCCAATAGTGTGCCAAGATCAAGATGGCAGGAAAAAAAAAAAAAAGGCTGGGAAGGAATACAGGGATTCCCCGCTTCACTCACACCGGGGAAAAGAAGGTCCTTCTCAAAGGGAAGAAATGGTGTGGAGAACAGATGTGCAAATATGCCCACTCGAAACTTAAGATTTAAAAAGAAATTATAAGGAGAGGGCATGAAAATTTAATTTAATGTTCACCTTAGGTAATTTTGTGTCTTATTGTTCATGGCAATTACCATAAATCTGCATATCAATAAGCGAGAACAGATGTCAGTTGTTACAAGTGCTTGCCAATCAGGTCTGTTAGAAAGTGACAGATGGGTGGTTATAGAAGGTTCTCATAAGGCCCATTAGCACATTTGCAGCAAGTGTCTGTGGTGGAGGGTGGGAGACCGGCCTTGGGGTGTACGGGAATCCTTGTGGGTCCAGGATGGGGATGCACACCTTACACCTGGGCGGGATCTCCAATGTCAGGTTCTCAGCCTCCAGTACAGGTTTTTAAATACCTCTCCTCTTTCCACTCATCACAGATATTCTAAGACAGTCTTCTCTGGGAATGGGCCTCAAACTGATGAAAAGCATCGCCTTGTTGGTGTTTGAAGCAAATACCTGCACTCTATAACTTTATTGTTACTTTTAAAACGTAGATTAGATATTCTGAAACGGAACAACTAACAGCTTTACTGAGTGTCAGAAGTAAAGTGAAAGCTTTCTCTTGTTTATCAAAGGATACTTATTCTTTACTCTGGCCAGTGGGACTCCATGGGTTGGGCATGGTCCAGTGCACCAAGAGGTCAATGGTTTAATTTCCGGTCAGGTCACACGCCCAGGTTGTAGGCTTGATCCCAGTAGAGGCATGCAGGAGGCTGCTGATGTTTCTCTTTCTTCCTCTCCCTTTCTCTCACTCTCTCTCAAATCAAATCAAATCAATAAAAACAACAAAAAAGACACTCTGCAGCCACTGATTGCTTCAGAATCTCTATAATTTTCTAGTAACAATTCCTCACTCTAGAAAACACATTCTCCTGACAAAAGCAAACCACACTTACACACTTGAAATGTGATTCAGAATGGAGACACTTTTCCTGTCTCTGAACTTCTTTTTTTGAGCAGATTTGGGGCCCTCACTGTATTATTTATCTACAGCTTGCCCCTGTGTGCTACTAAGCCTGCTAAACCCTGGGTGTAGGGAGGTCCTGCAGCTGTACCTGTGCAAGCACACCTGCATTTGCTGAGACGCTGAGCCCTGCTTCCGAGAGCTCCGGTTTCAGGATCAGGTTGCAATGGATGTCAAATGTGGATCAGCCACTTACTTGCGCAGTAACTTTGGGTAAGTTTCTTCTCCACCACTCTAAGCCTCAGTTGCCCCACCTGTGAAATGGGACACTAGCAGTCCCTACCTCAAAGTTGTTTGATGCTTGGGGATTCTGTACCCTAGTCCATTTTATGCCCTTTTTGGTGCTATGGCCTCACATAACTTAGTTAACCTCTTCCTACTTCAGTTTCCCCAACTTCAATGTAGTAACAAAGGGTTGCTTTTGCCCTGGGCATGCTGTGAGGATAAAGGGCATGGTTATTTCAAGGAGCTATGTTAAAAACAAAGTTGTAAAATACTACTCTTGTTTTTCTAACAATCCTCTTTTGTTAAAAGGAATTAATGACCTTAAGCCACTTTTCCTTTGTTCCTTCTTCTTCACGAAAAATCCAGACTCTGAGCCCAAACTCAGGCCCACGTTTAGATTTCAGAAATTCATGCAACAAATAATTGAGTGGAAAAATAGATACGTTTTTTACTAGAAGTTTTGAGAGGGGAAAATCAACTTCATAGATGCACAAAAATTACCATAAAAGTATTCAGTTTACTAAGATTTCATCCCAATCTTTCTTCTTTAAAATTCATATTTAATAAAGATATCCTTTAATAAAATCATGGAACACATTTACAGTTACTTTTAGTCTGATAAAAAAAGTATAACTGATGTCTCATTCACTTTTAATGATTGCAACTATTAGTAACGTCTCTTCTAAAACTTCTTTTTCTGCTTCTTATTTTTAGATTTACTTTATTTTTCTCCTCCAGTGAGTGTTTTACTCATTTAAATGAGACATTCAGACTGTGACAAACCGGAGTCTCTCGAAGGGCAGAACGCCATGCCTGGGAGTGGTCCACAGCCACATACTACTGGTTTCCGCGATGATATTTCCCTCTCTTTGGTGAGTGTTCCATTCAGGAGTGACTGAACTTTACATCTGGAGTTCATGTAACTCTGAAGACACACAAATGGCATCCGAACTGTGTAGGTGCCCCTGGCACTGTGCCACAATCTCAACCACTCTGCGAGCATTTTAACCTCAGGTGGGTCTGGGACCCATGACCTCCGTGTGCCTTCATGGCCCTCCTCCCACGTGTGTTGCAGACCATCTGCACCATAATATGCGTGATGTTGTATGAACTAGCTAATTTCAATCCTCGACGACAATTTACCTGTGAACATACTTTAGTTTATATAATGTGTTTTTTCTTTTCTTTTTTTGGGGGGTCTTAGACGTAAAGCTAACACCAAAGTTCTTAATTAAGAAAGCTTTTAATTTAAGTGCCATTGGGAATGTATCCAAAAACATAAATTTGAGTTTGCCAGTTTATAAATTTGTTTACTCAAAAATAGTTGTGAGCACCTCTTGGTCCATCAGCCCAGGCCACGGCCTCTCGGACACTGATGATTCAGGTATGTCAGAGAGGTGAGGGAGGAAGGGGAGGCAGTCAGGGTCACAAGAGAGAGAGGCACCCCTCCCACATCTGGCGAGTTGGGAGGCTTTCTCTAGAAAGTGGCCTCTATCACAGGTCACTTTATAACACTGGGTGAGATGACTGGCAAAGACAAAAAGGAAGCACTACTTCTGGGAGAAGACAAAAGAGCAGCGGGCCATTGAACTTTACCTTATTTAAAAAAAAAAAATACCCTAAACCACAATGCTTCAAAAGATTATGACGATGACACAATTATGCTTATGAATGAAGGGCACCCTTTCCTGAAAACTCGCCCAGCAGACAGCCTTGACATCTACATCCTTAATACTATTCAAGGCAATGGTCCCCATGGACTGTCAGCATTTGGTTTCCTGGCCTGTGCCGACACTGGGTGCTGAACTTCATATATTGAAGGTTCAAGAATGGGGCATTTGGGGGAGGCCAGGGCATTTACAGAGTGCCTCAAATTAGCCATCCGATCCATGCACCTTCTAAGGCGACTCACAGATACCTGTTTGTAAATGAGCACGCGAAGCACGTGAACGCCATCCTGACTTGTGGCTGGTGAGCCAAAAAAGCACCCAGCTAACAAGTGAGGGTGCTCTGTCTGCCTGCCCGGGAAGTACGCTTGGCAGCAGCCTGGGGACCTGGTGACCTTCTCTGCGTAACTCAGCAGTGGGAGAGGGAGAGCCTGAGGCTTCCTCAAAGCCAGGGCCCTAACTGTGAATCTAGATGCAGCCATGCTTTCTGTAAGAAAAACAAACCTAGCATCGGTGGAAAGTGTGACAAACCTTAGCATTTATGTTAGCACTTGCAATCTGGAGGTTTTTTCTTTTTAAAACATAGAACACTTCCTGAGTAGTTTACCTATGCCACTCAAATTCCCTTCACAGAACTAAAAATAAATGAACCATTCGATATGGTTCTTGGCTCCAAGGCCAGCCTCCCAAACTGTATTCATAAAGATACTGATGAATGATTTAACTACTTATCATTTGAACATACATTCCCCCCCCCCCCCCAATAATCCAAAAGCTATAATTACAGCAGAATAAGCTGGCAGTGCCAGTAGATTGAGAGCCCAGTGACTGATTCTGCTTTATGTTTACAGTGGGCCAATCTGTCCCGTCAGACAAGCTATCATTAGCCCGTGAGGCCGCCATGAAAGGCTGGGCTGGTGATCACAGCACACAGGAGGGGAAACCTATGGAGAGTGTTTCCAGATCCATTCAAAGTGAAACAAGAAAAAAAAACCAAAAAAAACCAAGGGTTATGTATTTGGAAATAAAAAGAGAGAAAGAGAGAAAAGGAGTTTTCATCTTGGCAGAATAAGAAATCTGGCTTTTATTCTGCACATTTTTTTCAGTGTGTCCTTGATTAAAACAAACTGCTTGATTTTAACGGGCCAAAAACCTGTTCTTTTCCTTGCCCTTGCTCCCCACCTCTCTGGAAAGAAATGAGGAAAAAGCGCTCTCGCTGTTCCCTGAGGCAGGTGACCGGCACCTGTGTTCGGATTTCTTGCACAATCAGCCTTCCCCGCCCTGTGGGAAGTTAGGGGACCAGCCTGAAGGTGACACAGCAGGAGCGACCCGGCACTAGTCACCGCACCGCCTCACCACTGACACAGCTCATTAGGAAAAGCAACCCCTTCGCGGGCTGGCTTTCAAATCCAGCCACACTTTGATTTTCCTCAAGAACAGAGATGATGCTTTCACATAAAAGCGTCGGATGCCCGATTCTGTCAGCTGGGGGACGACAGTGGAAAAGGCACCCTGTTAATTGTCTGTGGCCGTCAGGGGACCGCAGACCATTACGGAGACAGGCCTGCAGCCCAGGCTTTCATTATGGAGGTCAGACCATTTTTATGGAGCGCCTATTATTAAAATTTTAGAAGGACGTTCATCATTTTGGCTTGCCCTGGATACAAGAACCTCGCTGGAAATTCCCCAGTAACCAATCCCAATTTTAAAAATAAGACAACGGGCGTACTACGCAGGAACGCTCTGTGCCCCCTCGTTACAACTGCTGGAAATGCCAGGGGCAGGAGGGCAACTCTCCCACCGCTGGTCTAATTTTAACACCCCATCCGGAGAGGGAGAGCAAAGAGGGCTGGTAATTGCTTTTGTTCTTCCTTGTCCCTGCTGCTGCTTTCCTTTGCTCTCTGATCCCCCTCGATTCAGACAACAGCACAGTCAGAGGGAAGGCGTGGTTCGCCACTCACCCGCCATCTGCTGAATGCCGCTGAAGGCGCCCAGGTTGCTGGAGGAGGTGGCCTGCTGCAGGAGCTGCAAACAAACAGAGGGAGATGCAACCGTTAACAAGCACCGAGGTGAGGGCCACGCGCCTCCCAAACTACACCAAACACACCCCGTTTCTGTTACGTGTATATAGCTGGTGGCTGCTGTCTCTTAATGGACTGGAGGTTCCCAGAGTCGGGGCTGTAAATCCATAGCACTGCCTGATCTCTATTAAGAAACACAGACGCTGGGGAAATTCAATAACATTGCTGCCTTAAAACAATTAAACAATTTACTCTTTTTAACAACCAGGTGTTCAATCTATGGAAGCCAACATGGCGGCATGACTAGCCCGAGCTCTCTGCAGTCTGGTTGTCACTGTAAGTCCTGTCAATCAGGGTTCATGCCTCGGTTCCTTCCACGTCCCTTCACAGCTCTGTTCCCTTCATCCGTCATTAGATGCACATGGAGCCACTGATTCCTGGGCCGACAGAGAAATCATCATGGTAACTACAGACATGACGTATCTCTTCACAGCCACGACTACATGACCAAGACAGTCCATTTTAACAGGGTCTTCACTGCAGTGAGAAATGTGTTGTCAGAACTTGGAACCATCTGGTGAGGCTGCACTTTGCACTCAACGAAGTCAGCGTCACCTTTTCCTCACGTGGAATCAGTGGATGCCACAAGGTAAAGGCATGTGGCTGATGCCCTAAAATGCTCTTTTATTGGCCCAATTGACTTGAGTTACAGGTTAACACTCAGGTGCTATGCTAATTATTTGACTGAATGTATTGATATTCTCTTTCGGTTAAGATTGATCACTAGAGACACAGTTTGTACACAAGGATAAGCTTCTAGTTACCTTCACTACTCAAAATGTACATGAATACAAAAAAGCAGAGATTCACACCAAATTTATTATTGAAAAGTTGTTACGAGCTTTGGAGGAAGAGATGGATTCACCATCTAAAAGAGAGTTTCCAGAATTTATTTGGAGCTCTTTGAAACAAAACGTAGAAGACCACCATTCCTTTGGTTCAATAGGAACAAAACTCCATGATAAGTATGACTCAAAAATAGGCATGTATCAGTATCAGTTCACTTGAAAGCACTGAGTAGAGTGTAGTATCAGTGGCCAATCAAACCAAAGATTTACAATGGTATCACAGGGATTAACTTTAATCGTTACCAGAAAAATGTCTCTATCGTTCTCTCATCCTTCTTGACTCTCATCCTACTTTTGCCTAGAGGTGGGCGAAAATAGGCTCATAGTTGTGAATACACAAAATAGTTTATTCTTGTATTATCATTAATTTATCAATTATTGTATTTATTTGTCTTATCATTATTTTTTATCTTAGTTATGATTTATCTTTTAGGCAATGATGGCTGGTAATATAGCCTACTTTTGCTCACCCCTGTGTATTACCTAGTCATCACAGAAAGAAAGAAAGAGAAACATACACACACAAAGAGAGAAAGGGAGAAGCCAGGGATCATCCATTTTAATAGAAAAGTCCCTTATTTTTATTTGATTACTGGTACTTGGGGTTTTCATTCTCTTGTGATTGCAACTCCTTACTCCTGCTATTAGGTGACATTTTGAGGAATTAATAGAGCCTACTGAGATAAGTAGGCTCAGGCTGGAGTGTCAAGAAACCACTTTCATGGTTTTCTTTCCATGAAAACCACTCTCTGGTGAGTCGGGCTCAGAAGCCACCCCTCAACACGGAGGCAGGGAATGCTGCAAAGGCCACGAGCCCTTGCAGACATAGACTTGCAATTCAGAGTAGGAGAAAGAATAGTAAGGAGTGTATAGAAACATGTGTCAGACATGAGAACGGGCTAATTCTCTTCCAGGGTACAGAAATCACTTGCATTTGTGACTCAAGAAACAGCCAGAGACTTCTGCACACCATGGGGCATGGAGCTGTGCTGCGGACCAGGGACCTGCACATGTATGTGCCTTGGTTTTTGGAAACGGTGGAGTGGGAAGCTGGATTCTTAGAAACCATGACAAGGTGAGCTGACTTCAATCTCTGATAAAAAATTCTTGTATATACCACTGAACAGATGGACTGTGAACATCTGAAAAGCACAAGTTTGTGAAAAACTAATTATTAAGTCAGACTCATTTCTTTTTTCATGACATTTCTACACTGATCGGACCAGAAGAATTGGCAAGTCCTGTATAGATTTTAGCAGGACACCTGGCAAAACCTCCCATGTGCCTTCCTCGAGCAATGGCCTGAAAATGACTGCAAATTCAGTCAGTGGCTTTCATGAGGACTCATATGAAGACCGGAGAAGCTGGCTTCTCCTATATTAATCAAACACGCACTAGAAGCTATTATGTGCAGGACCCAGTGGGCACTGGGCAGGCATTCGGGAATAAAGGCATAGGAGCTAGGTCTCTTCTCTGAGAAGCAACATGGCAAATGGAGAGAACACACAGAAGGAACACACGGAGGGAACACACTGAGGGAACTCATGGAGAGAACACATGGAGAGAACACACAGAGGGAGCACACTAAGGGAACACACAGAGGGATGCATCCCTGGGGCCAGCAGTAGCACAAGCCTGGGGCAAGTGATGTTACCCATTTGAGTTTCTCTTTTCTCTCCTCTACAGACAATTGTTCTGACCTGTCAGGGCCCAGGGAGGACCGTTTGGCAGAGCAGTACAGGTTCTGCGATCAAGCCAGTCTAGTGGATGATACAATCTTGAGAGGGACAGTTAGGTCCAATGACAGAGCTAGCACACAGATGAACACATACATACAAACACAATGACAGAGGCTGAGAAAAAGGCCCAATCTCACAACATGAAATTCTATTAATAAACGAGGAGACCAGCCTTTAGGTTCCAAAACAGAAAAATGGAGTAGGGTAACATGGTTTGGCAGCAGTTCAAGCAAAGATAAATAGGCGTATAACTGCCTTCCGTGTTACGACAAATGCCACTCTCGAGCTACATTAAGAGATTTTAGAGTCCATGCTAACAGCCACTGCCCTGTGCTATTTAGGTCTCACCAGGGGAATTGTCTTAACTTCTGGTGATGATATTTAACAAAGACACTGACAGAGTGAAATGGGAAAACCAAGAAAGTGAAAGCTTAGAAACAATGAAATGTGAGGGATGACTGAAAGAATTGGGTCGATGTGGCCTGAAATAGAATCTAATTTTTTGGTATCTAATAGATAAAGTAAGAAATATTTTGTCTAGTCAACGGGGGAGACCCAGGGTCTCCAAAGGAAAGTTCCACGGGGACTCCAGTTGAGGTCCTGACATGGAACGGAGGAACCTCTGAGGCAGTGAGCACTCCATCCACAGGTGCCTCAGTTTCCTTAACAAGTCTATCCAGCAGAATTTTATGATGTCTCTGAAACAGGGATTAGAAATTTAGCTTTGGGGGACTGTGCTCAGTCTATATCAGTCAAGAATTAGTCATGTGCTTATGCTAATCCACCTAACATGGAAAAATATCCTGCATCAATGCTGAGTTCAATAATTCCCCGAGATCCAACGTGTCCCCCAAATGAATGCGTTAGCATACTCAGGGGACCAGCAGGCTGTAAGAGATATAGTGGGCATGCTCCCCTCTCTCCTGGGGACCACGCACTGACTGGCCTCTTGCACTTACCGCCAGGTACTGTGGGGTGAGTCCGCCCAGGCCCGTCAGGTTCCCCCAGGTGGCAGTGTTGAGCTGTTGCATCTGCTGCGCCAGCTGCTGTTGGAGGCGTCTTTGCTCTTTGTCCTTCTGAGTGTCAGCGAACTTCACCACGATAGGTGAAGAGCAGCCCTGTGGTCAAACACAGCGGAAAGTGAAGAGGGAGTTACGGCCTGGTCCAGTCCTCTCAGCAGACTCAGCCCTGGGTCTAGCTTTCTGAACTACCCTGGAGCACATGGAATGGTTTTAAAATGGTTTGATATTCCTTCTTCTTCTCTGGAATAGTACCATCAACAGAAAATTCCAGATACTGTCATGGGTTTCCTTGGGGATCTGGTGGTCGATGGAGCCATTGGCGCTCTTGCTCAGGTTACTAAACTGCCTTTCCTTCCTTCTTCGTGCGTCTTCCTTCAGCCTTCCCAGAGCCTCCTCAGAGACAACAGACCTTATCTGTGTTCTTTAACTAACCAGCACAGTTCACTTGTCTGAGAGATAGACCTGTTTTGTGTGTCTATCTCTTTTCACATGTGAGCAGGGGACAAGGAAATTGGAATTTTCCCCAATTTTCAGTTTCTGTATTTTTTAACTGTGGAACTGTGGGAATACTACTGATCCAGCAATATAACTGGGAGAAGAAGATTTGTATTAGAAACACGGATGAAGGGAGGAGAGAGTAAGAGAACATGGGCCTTGACCAACATAACTGTTCCCATGTTTTCAGAAAGGTCTCCCTTCCGGTGCCACATCTATGCTATCCAGTCCCTGAGCTACTCTGAACCAAAACATTAGCAGTATGGTCCAGTCCGAGGAGATACCGGATAGCAGGAGGCAGCATCCACTTGGCTTCTTTTTCTAACAAATCTCACCCTTCTAGGTGCTTCTCTGTTTTCATTCCTTTAAAAGGCAAGGAGTAGGGGCAGTAAGCAATGGCTACGGGTTATAAAATAGGACAAGTTCATGTTTGATGCAGATAAAAATCATAGGAAAGTAACTCCTCGAGGCATGAAGAAGACCTCCATTAGAGACCTCCGTTTAGAAGCCCTGTTAAACATCTGCATTTGGTAAACATCTGCAGAAACATTTCTCCTCCCTCCCTACTCTTTTGTCCTCCTTAGTATAGCTTGTCTACACATCTCATCACAATTAAAGTTATTAAATTTTGCTGAGGTAAAAAGAATTTCCCCCAAGTGTTTGAAAAAGAAAAACAAAAACAAAACTTTACTGAAACTCAGCATGATACCACACCTCTCTCACTTCTCTCAGAATTTTATTTTCCTACTTAAGTGGAGGTTTCCTTTCTCTTCCCCTGGGGCCACTTTTCTTTCTCCTAGAGAACTCCCTTGCATTTTTTTCTTATCACCTTGGGTAGTTTATGGAGGAGGTAGCTATGACTACATGAGGCTATCATGTCTGTATTACAAAAAAAAAAAAAAAAAAAAAAAAAAAAGGGAGAAAAATGAGGTGACTGTTGAATTTCCAGCGTATCAGTCTTTAGCTCTGGTAGCAATAGTTAGTCATAGGACAGAATGTTAAATGTCAGTAAATTGCATAAAAGTAGTATTTCTTATTTTCACCATTAAAAAAAAAAACTATGCTTCATTTTTCTTCATTGGCTCCATATTTCAGCACTTAATTCCTTAAAGAGGGCAAAATATTCTGAAGATGAAAATTATAGAGACAAAGGGTTTTGCATGGAAAAGGATTATTATTACTTTATCAAATTTGTTCCATAACAAATTATAGCATCTCCTCCTAGAAGTACATTCACTGTTGGTTTTTTTTTTTTCTTCCTTAAATACCATAAGAGGATATAAAAGTAGAAAATCAGGCCAATGATTATAGCAAAAAATTACTTGTTTAAACCATGACACCGAAAAATGGGATAGGGAGAGATTGGAGGAAAGTAGAAAAATAGAAGATACAATATTAAAAGATCAATTATTTTTAAAAACATGTTCTTTTAAACTTTGACATTCACATCATTTTGAATTCGAATCTCTTAGATGACACATCTTGGTTAAAGATGTGAGCCAGAGCCCTGAAAATAATGTAATCTGTTAAAAAAAAGAAAATAAACTTCAGTTGTATGACTCTAATGTAACTGAGTAATGTCTAATTTTCCATTTAAATGCCAATATTTTTTAATTAAATGAGACATTTAAGTGTCTGAGGACCCTCTTCTTTAAGCATGGATGTCCAGATTTCAAACAATTGCACCAAATTTGGTTTTTTATAATAGATATCCATAACTAAGGATCAAGGGCTCTTTAAGAATCAGCATCCCCCCCCTTCTCTATTGCAGAATCTTTTCATTTTGAGAGCCCATGACTTCTGCGCTCGGGCTCATAACCAGTAGTGCTTCCTTTCCTCATGCTCTCCCTCTGCTGCGACTCTGGGGGAACCAGAGCCCCTGCCAGCCCCTCTGGGGCTTTACCAGGGGGCTCTGAGGAAAGCAGCTGGGGCGGCAATGTTTCCAGCAGAGAGGAACAAATTTAGACTAAAAAATGATCTAAGATGAGACCAATTTAGGTACAAGTCACTAAACTACAGAAAATAAAAATAATTAAGAATGAAGCACATACATGGAAGGTAATAAATACAGGTAAAGACTTTCTTTTTCCTGATGATACTTTCATTTTAATCTCCAAACTGGCATGAAGCTGGAAACCAGACTGATCCAGAATGATGGAGCAGCCCAAGTGAGGGGGCTGGGTTTACAAAAACTGTCACATAGGAAACTGCAGGCTGTAAAGACTGGCTCCTAGGTACTTCAAATCCCGCTAATTATCTCCTACTATCATGGCTGATTTTCACCTGAGCGTGCCTTCAGGTAGGGGGTGTAAGTGTCTTAAAAATGCATTGCACTGAAAGGAAAACACAGTGATTATATAAGATATGTTAGGAATATCAAAGTCAAAATGAAGTTCGAAAAAGACAATAGGCTGTGCAATGCTGATATCAAAACTTAGAAAAGTACAGTAAACACTTAATGACAATGCCATGCACACTCATCCCCCCTCCCTTCCCACCCATCCTTTGGCTCACTGTAAAAATATTGCCACAAAACATGACGCATAATGAGCACTTAGCTCCCAGCATGCTTTGGGAGATGCAGCATTGCAAAAAAACAACAAAAAAAACCCCAAAACAAAACAAACAAAAAATAAACTCCCCAAAAAATGGAGGCCAAAAAAGCTCAAACAATCAATTAATAAATTTTTGCTAATTAAATAAAACTGAAAATATTTTCCCCCCCAAAGATAAAAAAACATAACTTCAGATAATGCCACAAGGCCACCTGTGGAAAAGATCACCCATACACAGAGATACAGTTGTACATAATACAGCAGCACATGCACTCCCAAATGATTCTATCAGACAGTACAGAATAAGTAACAGCATATCACTCTTGGAATGCTTTTGTGCAAAATTCTGAAAGGCCATGACCCAAATCACAGACTAGAAGCGGAGAGCCATCTATCTGCATTGGCGGGTAAGCACCCACACCAGCATCTTTATTTTCCTTGAAAGCCACTATCTCTCATTAGAAGACCAAATTTGAGCCTTGATGCTTCTGGATTATTGGTCATTTTTCAGTAAGGGAAAAAATTTAATTTTTCAGGGGGCTCTCATCCATGAGCGTTTTCACTGGTTAAATGAAGTGGGAGAAGTAGTAACTTTCTCCAACATTCTTGATGCAAAAACACAATTTGTGTAACTAAAGATAACTTGATCCCACATTAAAAAACAACCACAACACACAAAAAGAACCCCGTGAGTTAGCACAGGGCAAATTGCAATTTGGAGTGGGGGTTGTTCATGCTTAATCCGTACCAGCCCTGGGCTGAGAAGCAGATGGGACCCTTTGGGTGTAGAATACTACTTGGCTTCAATTGCGTTGTGACTTCACATGGCAGGCCCTGGGCCACTGCAATAAAAGGCTCAAAAAATAATGGGAGCAGGCTTTCCTAAGTCCATTTCAAGCCATTAGGGGGGAAATTCAGAGAGAGCAGGAGAAGGAGAGAAAAAGAGTATGAATGAATGAAAAGAGAGGTGGTGAGAGTTTAAATCTGTGATTGTCATGGGAACAATCCACACAGGAGAGAATTGCGTTACCATTCCCCATCATTTGCACAAAGAAAACAAAGAAAGGGCAGATGATACAGTACCTCCATGGTCTGAGACTGATGCATGGCTTTGATTGCATTCTGTGCCATTGCCCTTGTAGAAAATGTGACAAACGCACAGCCTGTGGGAAACAAGGGGACAGGGAGCAGGAAAGACAAAAAACAACAAGACAAAAGGGTTGGACGCTTGTTAAACCAACACGGTCTACGAGAACTGCCACAGGACGACACTGTTCTCAGTAGTACATAAAATAAACAACTCCTCTCTTTGGTTTTACCATAGTCTGCTCTTTACGCACAGTGCTGACTTGCTAATCTGACCAGAGTAGAAAGTTCTGATTGATTAGTTTATTTTTAAAAAATGGAGATGAGGAGAAGGAAGTCGGGTACCCTTTTTAACCACGGGTTTGAAATGAGCAAGATCTCGTTAACGTTTTCTAAAATAAAAAGTTGCTCTTTCACATTTTCTGTCTGGTTGATTACCTTTTCTTAGGCATCCACACATTAGGGCTCTGGATTTCAAATTTTAGCATCGACTTTTAAGCAACAAATAATAAAACCATCACTCCAAGGACAAACTCAAAATGTCAGCAAATAAATATATCTAATTTCTTCTGGATAGTTAAAAAGTATACGTGTAGAAATATACATTGCTGCTATACAAATGCAAACCCATATACCAAATCCTGTGCAAACTAGTATGTATTAATTATGAACTAAAACAAATGCTCTATTACTCTAAGGTTCAACAGTGCATATAAAGCAAACATTTTAAATTAGCATTGAATTTTTTTACTGTATGGAATCATCATGGCTTTTGGAAGTTGTGACTTTCTGACATATATCAGCAATCTGACCTACAATCTAACATTCACAAGACAATGTGCATTTCTCTGAATGTCTCCTGTGAGGCCCATCGAACTTTCCATGGCTATCTTTTTCTCGTTCTGAAAAATAACTAGAATCTACAGTGCCTGGCCCCGCTCCTCATCACAGTGTTGGCTAGCATGCAGGCCACCACTCCAACTACACGGCTCATTGCCCTTTGCACTAATAAAAACACTGCCTTCTGAAATTCACATTTTATTCATCTTGTACCCTTGGGCTTTTAAGAGAAAAAGACTGTGAAATTAATGCAGATTCAGGCTGATTTTATAACAAAACCACAGCACACTAAGATCTGAGCTAAAGCAAGGCAAACTTAGTTCACTTATGATCTCTAATGACTATAAAAGTGCATTGATTTTAAGCTTGTTTAGCATTGCACAGTTTGAACTTGGGTATCAGAGAATAATTTAGTGTTCCACTCAATTAACTCAAAACTTTACTATTATTACTACTTAAAAGATTTCCACATGAAGCAGATCTGAGCACTGAGAGGCTAAAGCCCATCGTCATCTCAGATTGGATCCAAGAAAGAGGAATTCTGACATCGATAAGGCAGATGGCTGCCCCTTTGCCAGCCAGCCAAATGGAAGGTCCTACGTCTAAACAACCAGTGGATTGTTTGGTTTATGTAAACCCACTGTGAGCCATAAACCATATTTCTTCTTTTGTTCTGCATGTGTACCTGGTGAGATTATCAAGTCAATACTGTACTAGCACCTTTTAATCAAACATCAATGCCTGCCCATTAACCCCAAAACACAACAACATCCAGTCATAAAATAAGTCAATGCATTTTTTTTTTTTTTTGCATTATGCTGTAATTTTTAACACACAACATTCTCAGTGCATGGGAGATTCATCTAACATCCCCCTCCCAGTTGGGTGGGCCTTCTGAAGCCTGAGAGTAGCTCCGTATGAATGCTGAGCTGTTTCATATCGTTCTCTATTTCAACATGCTGCCCGTGCCTACACTGGCTGCAGGTTCTGTCATCAATGAAGGCCATTTGGCAACCTCTCTAAGGCACCTGCATGATGGGCGGAATAGCGTGTGAGGCAGATGACAGCACCTGTACTGGCTTTCATATTGAGACTCAGCTCTAAAATAGCAGAGTCCCAAATTTACCATCCATTTCAAAGTCATACCTCTTCAAAAACATTGTCATTATTAATGGAGGAAATAACACGAACAGATTTTTCTTTTCCCATGTTTTCTTTATCCTGAGAGTACAATGGAGGCAAAAGCAAATAATCTAATGGAGGCAACTCTGAAGCCATGCGAAGCCTGGACTAACTGCTCTGAATAGTCAGGAAGAGCTGTGTCATTCACTTCATTTGCTCTTATTATCCAGGGACATGTGCCCAACTGACAGTTTCCAAACAGACGAATGCATAAAAAAACACATATAAAATGTCAACAAAAATCATAAGGCACAGTTTATGCATTTACTACAATTTCAGAACAAATTGAACTTTTGTAAATAACTTAGAGAGATATAGTAATCATCAGGTCTAAAAAGAAAAGCATTAGTGATAGAACAATAAAATTATACTTCTATAAGCTCAACCCATTGCCCTTTCCTCTGTGAAACGTTCAATTAAAGCTCGACTGGTGCTTCCAATTATATGATCCTCATCCCATCTGAAAAAAAATGACCTGACAAATCTGATGACTTCTTTAACCTTTTTATTCTATTGGCAGTGGTGCAGTGAGGGACAAGTTGTCTCCGTAGGGGCTCTGTCAAGTTTTGTACTGTGCGCTGTGTTCAATTACTCAGGAGAGAAAATTACTGTGTCATTTATAAAGTGAGGGCCTATGTTGAAATATTTCACTCTCTATGCTACTCTGGAGGAAGTTAAGCAACTTCAGAACCAAATGTTTCATGGATTGGTAGCTGTTTAACCTTTGTAATTTCTCTAAAGGAATAGGTCATGGTAGTGCTCTGGTTAGATTTCAATTTTCATTTCAACACCACTGGAAACTTTGCTGTGGCTATTTAGGATTAAGATCTCAACTCTGTGGCTTTTCACTAACATCAGCTCCTACCACCAAGATTGGCTGTTGGCTCCTTTTCTACAAGGTAACTACCGTATTTTTCGGACCATAAGACGCACCAGTTTTTAGAGAAGGGAAATGAAGAAATAAAGATTCTGAAACAAATAGTGTCCTAAAATATTTTATGTGCATTAAAACCCAACATCACAGTCATAAACACATGTAATCAACCCTGTAAAGTAAACAGCAGCATTTAGAACCATTTTAGAGCCGGGCAAGCACACAGAGACCACACAGAGCCGGGCAAGTAAAAAAACTTTTTTTTAAAAGTATATGTGTAGGCTATATTTGGACCATAAGACGCAGGGACTTTTTCTGGGGGGAAAAAAGTGCGTCTTATGGTCCGAAAAATACGGTAGATGCCTTTCCATTGGATAGAAGTAACTTAGGTCATAATTGCCTCCTACTAAATTATCCTCTACTACAAATGGCTTCTGGGTGTGTGTGTGTGGGGGGGGGGTTGAGGGGGGGTGGAGGGGTCATGAGATCCAGCTAGGACAATGGCTCTGGTCTTAAAGGGTCTACTCCTTAACTTCTCTAGACTGTTGTATGTGCTGTCTTAGCAGTCAGTTCTCAGGCCATTGAGAACTGAAAAGAGAAAGTAGATTGGAAAGAAAAGATAGAGGTACCCAAACAATGAAGCTACATATTTTTCTTGGGGGTGGGGTAGGAGGAGGGATTAGATAAGATAGCCTGTATGTTACTGTCTTAAAGCCTCTAAATACATGACAGCAAAAGAAAAATTTGCATCTGTGAATGTGGCCAATCTTGCAATTATTTATTGTCTCCATTTTCAGAAAGTCAGAGATTGCTAGTAGAAATGAAAGAAGTTGGATTTTTCTTATTTCAGTGAGGTTGCGTTCTTGCTAAAACAGATAAATGATTGACTGGGAAGGTTTCTCAAAGTAATTTCCTCCTACAGACAGGATAAGGAAAGCACGTGACCCTGTCACAGAGGAGATTTTGGGACACATCTATTACACTTGTCATTTCAGCTGAAAGGATATTTGAACTCAGGTGTTCTACCTTTACTCTTGGCTGCAAGAGAATTTTTGGAGAACTAGATGAATTCTTGCTCCGTACGTACAAAATAAATAAATAAATAAATAAATAAATACAGGCGCTTTTTAAAGGCACCTGTAATGCCTGGGCCTCTTTTCGGCTACTTCTTTGAAAGAGATGCAGCAGCCTGCTACATTTGAACAGAAAAAAAGCATAACTTAAAATAACGTGTGCAGCATGAAGATTTCAACCTATGGAAAACTTGTTTATAAATTCCCATCCAGCTGCAAAAAGATGGTTGTGTAGCCAGTTTTCCTCGCTCCATCTTTTTTCAGCAGTGGCAGGGGTCACTAAACACACGTTATCAGTGTAATAACATTTGGGCACAAAAATTAATAGTTCAGTGAATCATTCCCGATGTTGAGTCCACTTATTTAAAATTGGCACGAAGAGACCAGTCATTTACAGCACCTGAGAGTGACTGCAGACCGGGACTTAATTGGCAAAATCTCATATCTGAGATGAGATTGGAAGATTGTATACAGAGCTAGGTGATATGATATGGTTAATCCAGGGGCATCTGATCAAAGTCCCCACATTTCTGAATGCTTAGGCACTATGTGGGCAAGACTAGAATGGTGGGGTCAAAACCCAGTCCCTCTCTGTGTACATGCTTTAAGAGCCAAAGGCCCTATCCTAACCTCCTGATCAGATATAACAAAAACAAATGAGGATTTAATAGCTGAGTCCAGTCGGTGCTGGCCAACATCCCTGATAATATTGCCAAATCATTTGTCAGGGGGTTGGCAGGAGAATGTTGGAACGCCTTAAACACAGCTGGAATATTCTTAAACAAGCAGAAAGTTACCTTAAATGGCAATGGAGATTTGACTCTAGTTTTTGGGAAAGAAACGTGAAATGAATTCCTTCATTGTCTTTTGAGTTACAAATGTTCAGCTGCTACGGTGCAGAAAACCCTGGAGGTTGTACCCAAATAGTGTATTCTGACTGTGAGGCTCTGGGGGTGAGAACAAACATGTGTATTTTAGGAAATCGACACACTAAGGAAACACCGTCACATAAGTGTACTGGCTCAGGCGCCTCAGGCTTTGATTCTGAGAGCTGCGATCTCAGTTGACCTGCCAGGTGTGGGCTCCAGGCACGCTGTCTGCTTTCTCAATGAAGGCTCCTGCAGCAGCCTGGGAGGTCCATCTGCCATCGCAGGAGGAGGTGAGTACCATGAAGGTGCCTGACAGCTGCTCAAACCAAACTTGCCAAATTAGAAAAGATGGCAGAATGGGTTACTGCTCCCCGAGGAGAAACGCATGCTTAGATGTAGGCACACTGCACTAGTTGAGTGTCTTCAGTGTGCTCAGCCGAAGATGGGACAGAGGAGAAATGACAGTAGACACCTGAGGGGGAGCATCATCAGCAGGTGCTGGGTGCTGCCTGTGCACAGTCACGACGATTTCGTGGGGCTGGGGCTGGGGCTGTCCTGTTTCAGGACAGACTTGGGTGCTGGCTGGTGAGTAATGATGGGACTTTTAAAATAGCCTTTCTTGCCAATAGGCAGGGCAGGATCCCTCCCCACCCCCCTTTTTCTTATAGGCAGCGGTGCTGAGAGTACAGTGGCGCTTGATGGGTACCAAGCTGTGGGCCCTGGCAGCCCACCAGCCCAGTTCAGTATGGGGAGCAGAGTCAACAAGCCTGGGGACACCCCAGTGGAATTTAAGATGTGACAGAGAAGAAATGACATTAGACACTTGAGGGGGAGCATCATCATTCTTGTAGCTGAAAAGCAAAAAAAAGAAAAATGAACCACCCAATAAACACTTTTTTATTGACTAGTTTATACCCTGGCTTAGTTGTTAGAAGGCAGTTTTCGGAGCAGCTAAGCTTTCTCGTTTCACTTAATATTTATTTATTTTTGAAACAGCTGAGCCAGCAAAAGGCACTGAGACCAGAAGTGCTGAGCGCCCTTTATCTGCCGTGCCACTAATGGGAGGCACATTAATATTTGATTGAAAACTGCAATTATTTAATGAAAGCAGAATAGTAGCAAGGAAGAGAATTGTTCCTTTAGTAAATACACTGATTCAGGAGTGGTCCCCTGTACCCATGAGTCCCTGGGTCCTGCTAATTGAAAAATCTACCACACTGTCTGCCTTTATATTTCAGAACAAATGGTTATAAATGAGCATTTTCTTCTTTGCCATAGGGAATGCTCATCAGTTCATCAGAAATTACTTTTCTGTTCAAGAAAAAAAGGGGGGGGGGGAGAGGGGCAGGAAGGAGGATTCTGCTATTCACATGGAGCCAGCATTCGCATGAACTTGTGGTGAGGGTCCTCCCTGACTGTTTCAGAAACAGACTGCTTCAGGGTCCAGGCCGGTGTCTGAACTGGCCGACTCTCTGGCGAAGGCCCGTGCACAGCTCTTTCCCATGTGGGCTCGGGCTGCTTTACAATCTAATCTGCAGAAGTAGCTCACGGCTGCTCAGGGAGCTCTAGACCCTGCAGGCTCCAAAGCCATTCCTGACTGTCCCCACTGGACATGTGCAAAGGGAACGGGGTAGGGGCGGGGTGGGGGGCTGTCCTTGGACCAACAGGCCCAGCCCTGCAAGAGGGAGAGTGGGAGCCATGCCTTCCTAACTCACGGTCAAGGTCTCCACTAAACCAGGTGGATGGCATGCTTGTATTAAAAACCTCCCATACTGCTCACCCGTGACGCATTATAAGATAACGCAGGGCAGTATTTACAAATGGGGAAACTGAGGCAGAGTGGTGGGAAGATGAAACGATTGTAGTCACATTTCACGTCAGGAGAAGTTCCGAGGTGGGGCCTGGGGGTCTGAGACCTCACCCCTCTGTGATTCCACTGTGAGCACCTGAAGGGCCTGCCTTGCTGTCCTCAGTGTCATGAGCCCTGGCGCATGGGAAAACCCCGTGAAAACCCAGAAGAGTGACTGAGAACCGCAACAGGAGGGAATGGTGGTTCCATGGATGAACGTGGCAGCAGAAAGGGATTGGGAAAACGTGATGGTGTGTCTCCTACACTTCTTCTCTGTTTGCCACCCTGCCTTTTTCCCTCGGAATCCTCTCTCCTGGCTTGTCTGCCTGAGGGGGCACACTTGTGTTGTAACTGCAGAAGAACCAGTGACTACACACGATTAGAAGCTCTTACGGTGCGAATCTGCCAGGACGGGACGGCACAGAGGGCTAGGAAGAAAACCCTAGTGGCCTTCATGGGGGAGGCTGTACAGGAGCCCGAGGTTGTGGGCATCACCAGCATGACGCACTACTTTGGGTGACACTGGTTACAGCCGTGGCCGGCAAACTGTGGCTCTCGAGCCACGTGCGGCTCTTTGGCTCCTTGAGTGTGGCTCTTCCACAAAATACCACGGCCTGGGCCAATCTATTTTGAAGAAGTGGCGTTAGAAGAAGTTGAAGTTTGAAAAATTTGGCTCTCCAAAGAAATGTCAATCGTTGTACTGTTGATATTTGGCTCTGTTGACTAATGAGTTTGCAGACCACTGGGCTATGGAACAGGTGGTGAGCGACAGATTAGATGGAGGTGCTGGGCCTGAGGTTTAGAATAGCCCTCAATACCACCGACTTGTTCAGTTTTTAGAGAACCACATCTCATCAGTGAGGGTTTCATAATGAGAGTTTCAGACTTGTTAAAGCATGCCTGTGATCTCCGTGCCTCCTCCCTCCTTCTCTATTTTTTTTTTTTTTTTAAACCATCTGCAGAAGAAAATACAGGAATGGCAAGTTCCAGGCGGATCCGCCTCCTCCTAGTTTTGCTCCAGACCCCCTCCTTTTGGGGCCATGGAGGTGGATGTGGGTGGAAAGCTTTTGTTCTCTGTGCCTGCCATTCTGACAGCTGACATCCTGAAGCGGTGTGTCTAAAAGTCAGAAGAACAAGCGTGCTCCCGCACGTGGTGCTGACTTTAAGTCAACCAGGGAAACGGGTGAAAATCAGAGCTGTGATACTTGGTGCCCAGCCTTTTCTTCTGCGTGCGGTTGGGGGGGGGGGGGGCGAACCAGAGCCTGGGATGGAGAAGACGGTTCTAACGAGCTCCACGGAACTTGTGCTGATCACTGCATTAGTGCAATGAAATCCTCTCCATGTTGCAAAAATATGGATTTCTTAGAAGAAATGTATTCTACATACTTGCTTTCAGCTGGGCCTCGCTGGGCGGATGGGGAAACTGCCACCAGAAGAGTGTTAACATTCAGTGACAGCCCTTATGAGTGGGTTAAAAAGTCAGGGGTGAGGGGGAGGGTGTGTGTGTGGGGGTGGTCTTGTCACAGTTAACGGCAAAAATGGAAAGAGAGTAGTTTTTCCAGCTACACTGCATAACTGCCTGCAAAAACACTGGCTTCAGAGTGCTTGAGCCACAGCCTTGCTTCCACCACGGCGACAATCTTCTGGGTGGAGTCACTCCCCTGTCACTACATGGGCTCCCTGCGCTCTGGACTCCAGGAGCCTTGACATAAAATCCTGATGCCCCTGGAAGGGCCAGTTCCTCTGAGTGCCTAATCTGCTCTGCTCTGCTCTCCGTGGCAGTGCGGGCGGTTTTCCTCGGTTTACATCAGGGCCAAGAGGCCCACACCCTCCACGTTTCTTTCAGGCACAACCAGAAAGCCAGAAACTAAGATGAAAACAGTAAGTATTCCTGCTCCTCTCCCACATGTACATCTCCTCCCCCCACCCCTCACGTATCGCCTTCAATTTTCGATTGAGAAGGGATGTGTAATAATGGGCAGCCTGCCGGCTTCCCATCTGACAGTGATAACCTGAGCTAATATGTTGGCACCGGGACCTTCCCGACGTGAGAAATAAAACGTGATCGTCTGAGCTGCGGTGAAAAGTTCAGGCTGGATAACTGCCGCGCGGGAGGTGCTACAGGGCGACCCTGGCTGCGTGTGGAAGCTGCACCTGCCTCGGCCATGACACGGAGCTCCAGTGAGCGCCCGAGCAGCGAGACCTGCGCGGCAGCACACTCACCTCGGCTCAGCCCGTCGGGCCCCCGGAGGATCCGGCACTCTTCTATCTGGCCGAACGGAGAGAACATCACCCTGATATCATTCTCGTTGCATTTCTTCGAAACCATTCCTATGAACAATTTTCTGTCTTCCACGGCTAGGAAGGAAAAATAACGCATGAGCAAAGGCCACTCTCACCTTTTTCCCTGTCATTGATGCTTCACGACCCCGCCAGGCCGCCTGCCAGCGACGTGAGCCCGCGCGCGGGGCCCAGGGCCGCCTCCACCGCCCCACCGTGCCCTTCCTGCGCATGCGCTCTGTGAGCTCGCTCTTACCCATGAAGAGCCTCACAGGACGCAGGACGCCAAGAAGTTCTCCCCCCTCTCCCCCCCAATATGGAAACTAACGGTAAGGTGTTTACCAAAACGTTGGAGTTCCATGTAGTGGCTAAATGTTACTGTGGCACAGAGATATTTTTGGAGTCAGTCTATGTTTTTGAATGACAGGGAAAGAACAAGGCCAGGAGAGGAAAAGCAAAAGGAACAGATGTAGTGGAACAGCAAACAAAACTGAACCGAGCATCGGAGGGAAGAAAACATCCTCCTCCGATTCCACGTGGCCGGGTCCCCACAGCTGCAGCGGAGGGAAGGGGCGGAGAGACGCCTGCTTCTCTGGGGACCTCGTCAGGGACCTCTGCCCCGCACCAGGGCCCCGCAGCCCTAACCAGGACGGCACCCGGGGTCGGTGTGCTTCAAGGAGAGAGAAAGGCGAACCCAGGGAAGAGAACGGGGCTGCAGCTACTGGAGAATTACGTCAGGGTGGCCCTATCCTGACCCCATGCTCGGGGTGAAGCCCTTACTGAAAAAAGAACAAGGAGGGGTTCTTGTTCTTTTCCTCCCACTCAGAGGCAGGGCCCTTGATGAACAGAAGTGCACTTTGGCTGTCATGACAACATGCAAATTTTAACTTTGGAACCCGATGGGGGTAAAGATGAGGGAAGGTTTGCCTCAGACAACTGGGGAGATTGTCCTCAGAATCGACATGCCTGTGCTCAGGACGACCGGCCCACACTGAGCCTCCAAGGTGCCCTAATGGCTCAGGACAGGGCCCGGAGTCCTTCAGGAGAGAGCGAGAGGCTGTCACAGCACCGCAGGGAGAAGGTTCGCTGCCCCCATGTTCCTTGAAGTTCCATCAGTAGAACGGGAGGGAGGGGCCGTGGCTGCCGCAGCCCCTCGGAGCGGCCTGGCCCAGGGAAAGCCTCTGCCAGACATCACCTTGCAGAAGCCTTTTGTGTGCGCTTTATTATCTTTCCTGGTGTCTCTCACCCTCTTCCTGGAAAGTAAGCGTCTCTTTCACCCAACCCACTGTACTCTAGATCTTCTAGGCCAGCTACGTTGGGCGTGTCAGCCGCACTCCGCGGCCGCTGCCGCTGGCCGGGGACAGAGCAGCTGCGTGTGCAGCAGCGATGTGGCTTGGGGCGCCGGTGCCGAGGCTGTCCAGCAGAGCTTGCAGGAAGGGCAAGTTCTAGTGATGTCCCTGCAGTGGCTGGAGCACGTGCAGCTCCTGTGACTGAGGCACTGGATGCTAATGCCATTTGCTGTTAGCCGATGCAAATGTTAAAAGCCACCTGTGACTCTCTCTCGGACAGCGCAGCTCCGAGGGGGTCCAGGTGAGACAGCTAACTGCTCAGGTCACAGAACCCCAGGGTGGGAGAGAGGGAATGCAGAGGTGCGTTGTCTAGCTCTGAGAGAGATTCCGAGGCCTGGCCGGAGTGGGGAGGGATTCGCTCTGGTCATTCGGCAAGTAGGTGGTCTAACCTGGACCATGACCTAGTACCTTACGGCAGTCCAGGCTTTTCCCACTCCCCTGTGTTGCCTGCCAGCCCACAGGCAGCAGATGAGGCCTGAAGGGGAGAGCGATGCTGGGATTGGGAAACTCGGGTCCTTGGTGCAGGGCAGCCATTCTGTTGATGGAGAATGAGCCGACCTCTGCGGACACGTTTTGTCATCTATAAAAGGAAGGTTTAAACTCTCCTCCCTTCCCTCTCCTCTCTCCTCTCTCCCCTCCTTACATACCGGAGAGAAGTGGCCCAGCCACAGCTTCGGTTGACTGAAGCACACGGGGTAGGGGGAATGGTGGAGCCCAGAGGCCCTCTGCTCAGCCTCTCCCACGCTGTGGTTGCTGTGAAGACCATGCAGAGGAGCACGGGGCTCCCAGGAGCACGGGCTGAAACCACACTCCCACAGGGCTTGTCCAGGAGAACTGTACCACGGTTTTTGAGAAAGGCCTGATGGGAAGGACATGAAGCTGGCTTTCCAGACACACGGGCAGGGTGCAGACAGACAGGCAGCGGGAGGGGGGCAGCATGCTGACGGGGCAGGGGCGGAGCCAGGAAGAAGGAAGGCCGCCTGTGGGGCTGACAGAGGAAAGCAGTCTGGCTTCAGCACGACAGGCACTGGGACTTGCTTTTTCTGTGGAGAGGGGCTCAACGTATAAGGAAGGTAACAGAGGGTCCAAGGCTGCCCTGTGCCCTGGGCCCTGGAGGTCACTGCCGATTCCTGGAGGGAGGCCACTGAGGACCTGACTTCCTGGATGTAGGCGAAACGTTTCTTAGTTCATCTTTTCCCCCTTCAGAGTAAGTGAACTACCAATGACCTCCTGCGAACCGGTAGAAGCACAGGAAGCCATAGGCGGCGTTGGCACAGAGGTGATCTGGGTGCTAGAAGCACGGGGTGCCTGAGGGAGCAGCGTCCTTCCCATGGGGTGCTGTGAGCTCCAGCACCAGGACACCCTTCGCTGGGCGGACACAGCCTTGTCCAGGCTGGAACGGAGCGCAGGAACCCACTGATAGGGGCAGTGGGAAGGGAATCACCTCCAGGTGTCTTTCTTACCCTCCGTCTTCCCTCTCACCTCTGGGGCTCTGCCTGGAGGAGGCTGCGACTGCTGCCTTTATGAGAGTAACAATAAATCCCTGTTCTATTTTTTCTAATCCTAAAAACTCTGGTTTTAGTTCTTTTAGACAAAAGCAAATAACACATTCCCAGTCGGTCCTTGGTTTCACTGGTAAACCTATGATTATTGTATTTAGCTGAAACAATTTGTAGATTTTGAGCTTTAGAGGGATACGATAATAAACAAATAGGCAGCTCCTCAGTATGCTAAAAAAAGATTTTTTTTTTAACTAAGACGAGTATTAAAACAATGAAAACTATAAGAAATTCTGATGTTCTAGTCACCATGAAGGGTCAATTCAGACAGGCAGCAAGATGGGCAATTAACTATCACTTTTTTCAATTACACCTATTAGCTAAAAATAAAAAAAAATTAAAATCTATACTATCCATATCCTAGACAAAATGCTAGTGTGTGTGTGTGTGTGTGTGTGTGTGTGTATGTACAGAGTACACATGCACAAAGGGAGCTGGATGTTTGCAATCTTTTGCTAGTCAAGGTTGCTCTGAGGTTTTAACAGCTGGGCCATGTTTGCTTTGATGGCAAAATGGGGAAAATTACACATACCCACCCTCCCTCTTCCTTGAGTTTTCCTGACTTTCCAGTGAAAATTTATTCATACAAACTCTTCTTGGGATTTCCATGCTAAGGATCCTTCTAAACAGGTTTGTCAACATTTTAAATAAATATAATTATCTCCAATTCACTTAACTTTTCCATCAATGTTTGATGAACAGGCAGTAAATATCTTACTTATTTTCTCAATCCACAAGAATGCTGATTGTTTAAATAAACCGACCATGCTCACCATATTCTGCTAAGTGCTTTAGGGAAATTAAAAAAAGAAAAAGAAAAAAGAAAAAAAGAAAAGGTCTTGGGAAAAAGCTCCTTTTCCTTCAGGACAGCCTGCGGCTGAATGAGGGGGAAGACCAGTGCACACTGCTGCACAGCCGGGTTTCCGTCATCAGTAACAACATGGCAGGACTGGAAGGGTCTCCAGACCAGAGACCACTCCAAGTTTTCCTTCCACAGTTTAAATAAGAAAGGGTTAATAGGATAAGTGGGAACTTCTTTAAGTTTGGGGAAGAGGAACTTAAATAAAAAAAAAAAAAAAAAAGTCCTAATTGTAAGCCTATGCTTACACCCTGGTATACAACCTGTCAAAGTCACACCTGGATTTGGGGTGGCCTAAGTTAATTAACAACTTTTCATTGTGTTAGTACTGACATATGGCATTTAATTACCGCCTCCAAATCCGTGCGTTCCTCCACTTTGAATTTCAGAATTACTTCTTCATCTCCTAGTAAATCAGAAACGGGCTGGGTGGGAAGGTCCTGTATAACTGTGCGTATTGGAGCCTTGCTGGTCTTTATCCTCCAGGGCAATACTCAGTTATCTTGACCCATGAGAGCTCTGAACTGGGCGCATGGACACACTGGGGAATTTGGAGAAGGCACTGGGAAGAGAGACAAGGGTCTGGAATGGCATTTCTGGATTTGAGGCTTCAAGGACACTTACAAGCTGTGAGGGCTGAGAGTGAAAGCAGGATGGATCTATGCTCTGTCCACAGAGTCAGGGGCAAGCCTCATACTCAGGAGCATGATGCCAGAATGTGCACCAGCTCCGGCCACCAAGGTCCCGAGCACAGAACCAGAGGCAACTCTATGCTTTTCTTATCACTCACTGCTAGACAAACTTCAGATCTAGCAACTGCATTTAATTTTCAATATTGCACTGCTGGTATCTTTTTCTGTATAGTCATGAAGGATTAAAAGTTGGAAAACAGGCCCTCCAATGATAACACGACATTGAAAAGAGTAACTATGTTTGTGCTGGCATATGCCGGTCCCAGAAAGCCATACCTCCTCCAATGCCCTTCCCCTACCATCACTGGACTGTGTGCAATGGAGAAATAATAATAAAAAAAGTTGGATTCTATTGAAATCTGGGTATTGATTCAGTGTGTTCTTCTTAAAGGATGAAACATTTTATTGCTAATGCTGTGTGTGTGTGTGTGTGTGTGTGTGTGTGTGTGTGTTTGGGGAAGGGCGGGCGGGGAGAGGCACCTTGCATAGAACTATGAAGACAGGAGCAAATGAGTGAGTTGGCATAAATGTGCTAGAAACTGCAACTTAAATCAGAGCTAATGAAAAGGGCGGACTAGAGGAAGCCAGGGAGATTTCAGAAGTCCAGTCAGTAAAATACAGATGTGCAGGGCAGACTGGAGAGCAGTCCAACATTTCTGAGCTCACCACAGAGCCTTTGTCAGAATCGCTGCATGGATGAAGGCTGAAAAAGTGATTGCTTTTCTGGAATTCATTTGTCCATCACTAATTAATCTGTGATGAGCAGCCTGTCTTGCTCAGAAAATACAAAGTTTTATAAGTCAGAACATCCTGCTAATGAAGGCAGTAACTGTCTAACTGTGATGAGTCCTTTGTGTTATCCATAAATGTCAGCAAACTCAATAAAAGTGCAATTAGAGCTCGTTAGACTTCTTTCACAGTTACTGGAGCTATTTCGAGCATCTGAGCCAAAGCAATCTTGGTGCTCTCTGAGCTTTGAAATGATGCTTACCTGTCAAAGCTGCCATGTGAAATCAGAAAAGACATGCAGCTCTTATCACTTGCTTTGGAAAAGTATACATTGCCCCTGATTCCTCCACCAGGTCCAAGGAGAATCTTGAACCCTGGTCACGTCTATGCAAGATGGGCTCCACTGGAGCCTCTGCAAAGAAGACCAATTTAAAAGCACATTTTGGTCTATTTATTTATTTATTATTATTATTTTTTTAAATTTGAAACTTAGGAAATGAAGGCCAATCTACAAAGCAAAGGGAGCAATGATCCAACAAGAAGATTTTTTTTGGGGGGGTGGGGGTGGGGCTCCTTTGTATGTACAAGCCTATGCTTGGTATGAACGACCACAGCTAGAAGTGCCAGGGTCAGCGAGCTGGACTCCCATCGATAACAGCACTGGGAGCATTTACCATGTGCCAGGTTTTATGCTCCATCTTCTTAGATGGTGACTTATGTACCCCTCAAACTCCTTCGAGAGGCATGTGTTGCCAGCAGAATTCCTACAGATCGCCGCAGCCCCGTTACAGCTGGACACAGGAGGCCAGGGGAGGTTGCAGAACATGAACAAGGACACAGCTAACAAGCGCAGGGCCAGGGGTAAAGCCCAGGCTCCTCAAACTGGTTTCTAATGGCTACTCTAGGTTTCTCTCTGAAAAATGTCCTTATTTTTAGGTATTCTCTCATCTTAGCAAAACAATGCTCAGTCCTGCTTGGCTTTTGAGATCATGGCTAACATTACCTCAGCGTGCAGAGTGGACAGCAAGGGCAACGGCCCATTCTGTGACCCCCTGCAGCTGTTCTATGGAAGTCAGGGGTTGGGCCCCTGGGCATCCGAAAATGCAAAAGAAGAAATCCCTTCATGGCTCGATTGTCTGGGTATTTCAGGTCAAATGTTTCCTACTCAGTTCACTAATTCATCATGTCTTTATAACTAGGACCTAAGGTTCAGAAATAAGATGATCCCTTTTCTGTAAACTTCCATTCCTTGGTCGCTGTATGGACACAGTTTACAGAGTGATAGGGCCAGAGGACAGGGAGCATCTCTTTGGGCCAGAACTCTGAGAGAGAATTCATTCCATGAATGCAAGATTCCTTCTCTTCCACAGGGAGCAGAACAGATTGTAAACGTGACTCTGGAGCAAAGGGTTCTGGGAACTGGCATGGGTGCACAGCTTTCAGCATGGGTGAACATGCCCAGGGACAAATCTGATAGCAGCAGTCAATATGTATAGAGGTGCTCCGTCCTTTACAACGCAATGTGACAAACACCATGTCCACGTCTGAAAAAAAAGGGCAATCTGTGTGAGGCAGTTGCCATCATTCTTATTTTATGGATGAGGGCATTAAAGTTCAGTCTTTGAGTGACTAGCAGAGATCGGTAGACTGAGTATAAGTTCCATGAGGTCAGGCAGACTGTTCTTTTTAAAATCCATTCTTGAAGCCCCAGCCAGTACTGTGCCTGGCACACAGTACAGAATCAGAACTCACTGTCTAATGAAGGAATGAAGCGACTTGAGATTGCTGAATGAGATCGCTGTTGCAGAATGAGATCCTGCAACAAAGCAGTGGCAGGTTTGAGACCCTCCGATACTAAGTGCCCTGTTGGTGATGCAGTAGAGGAGGACACGGGGAGGTAACCCTCCGAGAAGGTGTGGCTGAGGAGAAGATCGTGGGCAAAGCACTGAGGTCTGCTCCCCGCCACACAAACCAGGTGCTAGCAGCCCACAATACATGCGATTCTCTTCAAAACGTTCTAGTCTGGGAAGAAGCCAGAAAATGGGATGTACTACACTTAGCAAATAAAACCTTGTGGAGAAACTTAGAGACCAATCATAATTTACATTCGCACATATGCAGATTTCTGAGTGCATGGCTTCTGCCCTGATTACTAATGAATGAGGTGCAGAACCGCCTGCGGAAGGGAGCATGCCGATTGTGTCAGTCTTGTGGGATGGGCAAGCTCTGAGGTCGAAGAAGGTAGAATAGTCCTTTAACATGCATTTCAGTAAATTCAAAGAACAAAACAGGGACAGAAGGCTGGTGTCAGTGGAAGCAAAAGCCGGAGAGAGAGAAACGTGGCTATCAACCCTCTTGTGTCTCAGACAGTCAAGTCTCAATGATTCCACCACGGACCTCACCAAATGCATATTTTTGCACCTCATGTATGTTTATTTAATCAGCAAACTGAATTCTGAATGAATTTGGATGCAAATGCATTGGAACAATTTAGAGAATAGTGCAATAAGTCAGCCTCCAAGACACAGAAAAATAAATGGAAGAGAGAAAAGAGGTAGCTGGTTCTTCGTGGTTCCTTTCCCACTCACCTTCTCTGCACAGTGTAAGGTCATTCCTCCCTATCAGGTGTCCTGTGTTGCTCTGTGGGAGCAGATACACAAGAGCCAGAGGCCACAGGGTCACCACCCAGAGCAAGCCCACAACAGAGAGACACAAAAAACCATTTCTAGTAACATCTCCACCGACCTTTACACTCCAGAGATAAATGAGGCAAGAGAGTGAAGCTCAAGTTTCCCCAGATGAGCCAGCTACAGGGCAAGTTTCCGGAGCAGTTGTCTCCACCTTGCTGAGAGAAAAGCGCTGGGGCTGGCACCTTCCTCCACCAGTGGACCCCCTGATTCACAGACACAGACATTAGATGAGACAGTTGGTCACCACTTACCATTTGACTTCTCACTATCCGCAGGTTTCATCTGAATGGGATGATGCATCTAAAATACAAAAGCGAGAAGGTAAAGGCAGATTGAACAACTGTATAACAGACTCAGAAATCCCACACTATTAAACTTGAACTCTGACATTATGATAAGGACACAGTCATAACAAGACCTCTCCCAGGTAAAAGGAACCGAATCCAAATGCAAGCCCGTATCTTGTGTTCAGGAATAGAACCTGCTCAAGTCATGTGGACAGTCTAGAAAAGCATGGGCTCTGCAGTCAGACTTGAGTTCAAAACCTGGTTCTGCCACTCAACCTCGTCCCCTCCTGTAACTCAGCAGTGATTCTGGTTCTGCCATTGATGACAGCTATGTGACCTTGGACAAGTATCTTTACTTCTCTGAGACTTGGTTTCCCCATCTGTGAAATGGAGATACCACTGGCACAGTAGGGCTGTGGGAATTAAATGAGAAATGCAAGTAATGTGTTTAACCAACTGGGCATAGGATATGTTGGAAAAACACACACACTATTATTATTATTATTATTGTTGTTGTTATTATTAACCCTTTTTTTTTTTTTTTTTTTTTTTACAGAAAGGAAGGGAGAGGGATAGAGAGTTAGAAATATCGATGAGAGAGAAATATTGATCAATATTGATCAGCTGCCTCCTGCACACCCCCTAATGGGGATGTGCCCACAACCAAGGTACATGCCCTTGACCGGAATAGAACCCAGGCCCCTTAGTCTGCAGGCCAACGCTCTATCCACTGGGCCAAATGGGTTAGGGCCACACTATTATTATTTAATGTTATTTCAAATGTGAATGCAGATTGTGTTTCTTCTGGCCATTCTGTCTGGATTTTTCTGAGGTCTCAGAGTCAACAGAAATTGAAGGTCTAGCAGCTGACTGATTTAGGTGCCATCATACAATTTTTATTAAACACCAAGTGTGGGATAGAATGGAAGGAGGGAGGAAGAGAAGGGGAGAAGGAGGGAGACACAGGCTTCGGAGCCATGTCTGTTCAGTACGTATGTGGGAGCAGAAAGAAGCTGAGATGAATTGGGTGGCCTCGGGCCCTTTACGCAATGCCCATCACACCACTGTGCGTGATCTGCAGAGTTTACGCCGAGCGAAGAATGCCGTCACCATTTCCAATTAAAATAAATTCCTCAGTCTACTTTCAAAGGTTCTTTTGCTTCATATTTCATCCTACCCCAAGGAGCATGGGAGCCACAGGGTAGATGGAATCACTAGCGTTGCAAATGCTTTTATTATAATGGGTCCCATTCTCTCTGAACCTTTAATTTCCCCAGTGGACTTCCATCACTTGCAAGCCACAGCTCGGGTTTTATCTAATTTAAATGAAAGGGGAATGGTACTTGGCTCTGGCACTTAAACGTTGGGAAATTATTATCAGGCAGTCAGGACCATGTGCAGCTAATGCCTGCCAGGGTCTTCCAAACATAAGAGGCAGAGGAAAGAGGGAGAAGCACCAGGGGATGAGAGGCTAAGTAATTCAGAGCTGCTTTGTTTATGCTAAAAGGCAAGATGCTCTTATGCATAGAACATAGGCCCTGAGATGTTGGGTCTACGCATATTCCCACTCCGTTCATCAGTCTATTCAATTTGTAGAAGAGTCTAGAATAAGAATGAAATGTTTAGGGCTAAGTATATCAGAATTTTACACAAAGACTAGAATATACACCTAAAAAGCAGGCAGAAGCACACTATGATGGCACCTATGATGGCACCTATGTAGGCTAAGGAAAGTGGCCTCCATCCTACAGGTAAGAATGGGGAGAATGGCTCAACCTAAGTATTGGGGGAGGATGGGCCAAGTCTTTGAGTACACTTTTCTTCCCACAGGCCTTGTTGACTCCTTCAGCAAATGTGTGTGAGGAACCCACGGTGTCCCTGCATCTAGGCTAAGCAGTGAGGAATGAAGGCCCAGAGGGAGAAGTTTAGATGCTCCGGGTGCTCCCTGTGCAGTTGAGGGCACTGGCACGTAAGCAGCCCCGAGCAAGATGGGAAGAGCTATGGCCGATGCAGGAGCGAGATGTGTGGGAGCCCAAGGAGGCAGGAGCTGGTGAGGGAGGGAGGACTTCTCAGCAAAGTGGTATCTGATTGGTGTCCTAAAGGCCGAATTGGACTTGTCAGCACAGGTGGGACAATGGAATAGCCCACACACAGATGCAGTGGTAAGAGAGAGCACAGTTTCTCATAGCAAATCGCCCAAAGTGAGTGGGGAGGGGCACGGAAGCGGCCGCACAGGGAGTAGGTATCCAGCTCTCAGAGGACCTTGTGTGCTAAGAAACCGAAATTTTGTCTAAAAGTCAATGTCAGGCACATAAGACTTAAGCAGCCAAGGCAACAAGATCAAATTTGAAGTTTTGAAAAGGCCTTTTTTGGCTACAGAGGACAGATTATAGAGGGGAGACACAGCCGGCAGGGAGAACGGCAAAGAGGCTACTGCAAACATCTGTGTGAAACTGATGAAGGCCTGACCTTCAGAGGAAACTGGATGGATGGAGGGAAGAGGGGGAGAGAGAATCCCAGGCCTGGACAACCAGATAGATTGTGGGATTATCACCCAAATAAAGAAAACACAAGAAAGTTGTTTGGGGGGAGACTGATGAGCATAGGGCTGCACATGACACACTGGATGTGACTGGGATGAGAGAGAAGTTGGGGAAGTGTGTTTCAAGCTGTGCAATTGCTCTGGGAGGTGGCAGCCGAGGTATGGGTGATGCTGTCCACAGGGGGAATGCGAAGTGAAGAGAGCCAAGAGCCACGGGCAGAACCATGGTGTCTGAGAGCAACAGACCACAGGGCAGTGGGAGAAGTAGGAGCAGGGACAACTCCGGGAGCCATGTGGGGAGAGCTTTAAGAACAAGGTGGCACCGCTAATGAAAATGCCCAAGTGTCCTTTGGATTTGGCAATAAAAGGAAATTTTTTTTGTAGGGAAAAAAATCAAAAACGCTCATGAGGGGAATGGGGACAGAATGTGAGTTTGCAGAGAGTCGGGGAGCAGTAGGGAAGATAAGTGGGGAAGAGCCGGGGAGTAGTAGGAAAGATAAGTAGATAAGAAGATATCGACTTCTATTTCAGGAAGAGTAGCTACAAAGGGGGAGATATAGGAAGCCGGAGGGAGGTTGGGTGGAGTCTTTCCTTTCCAGGTAACAAAGACTTGTGCAGGTTAATGTGAGACCCACAGGTTAAAGAGGAAAGAGGAGATACGTATACCTACAGTTTGTATGGGGCACAAAATGAAGTGACTAGGACTCCTGCCCTCAGGGAACTGACAATATCAACTATTCACGTAAAGAAGAAAAATGGGGGCCAACGTTAGCGCCGAGAACACTCAATCTGTGACGTGCATGGAGGGCTGGAGAAGGAAATCCAGGAGCCGTAGTTCTGAGGACAGGATCATTCTCCTTTCAAGCTGTAAAGCGCCCTGGCAAGCATTTAGTCTAATGCTCTTGATGTACAGGTCAGAGGGGACTAAGCAACTTCACTGAGGACACACAGCTCATTAAGACTGGGATGGGGTCAGAAATCCAAGCTCCCTGCTCTTACTGATGCTGATCGCCCATCACACTGCTTCGCCACAGAATGCCCACAGGGGGCTTGGACACGTGGGCCCAGGATGAAGAACTGCAGGCCGCACTCACTGAAGGCGCCAGGCACTCGTTTGAAGGCGCCTGCAAAATCCCCCAATGAAAGTAATCTTCCCTCCACCAAACTCCCCAAACTCTTTATCTCTGCAGCTTTACAACCAGTATTATACTGAGACTTGACTCTTGGTTTCCTTGCAGCTGCTGAGAGAATTAGCTCAGTCTGTGACCTGAGACTACCCAGAAGGCTCAGGAACACGGTAGTGGTGGTATAGTCATGCACACACACACGTTTTGGTCAACAGATCACATAAACTAGAGTCGTCCCATAAGATTATAATGGAGCTGAACAACTCCTATTGCTTAGTGACCTCATAGCCATCAGAACATCTTAGAGCACATGTGTCAAACACAAGGCCCGCGGGCCAAATCCGTCCCACCAGGCCTTGCAATGTGGCCCGCACCGCGCTGTCATCACTGCACTCCGCTGCGTTTCCATCACAATGACAGTTTATGACTGTTCAGTAAACCATTCGGCCCGCGATTTAGGCTGGATTTTAGATTTTGGCCCCTTCTCTGATTGAGTTCGACACCCCTATCTTAGAGGAATGCATTTCTCGCGTGTTTGGGTGATGTTGATGTAAACAAATCTACTGTGCTTCCAGTCGGATGAAAGTATAGCACATACAAGCATGTGCAGCATGCTACTTGATAATGACAATAAATGACTGATACTGGTTTATATGTTTATTGTACTATACCTTTTGCTATCATGTTAGAGCAAGCATGTCAAACTCAAAGGCTAACAAGGGCCAAATAAATGAGGTATACATATACAGTGCACAGGCTGCAAGTTTACATGCTTGTGTTAGAATCTACTCTTTCTACTTATTAAAAAAGTTTACTGTAAACACTGTATGCCCTGCTATGCTGGCAGCAGCTTCATACATATCCTGTGTACTGTGTCTCTTGATTGCATCTTTGGTCTTGTGCTTGATTTACTCTCATTTTGTTTTGTACTGTAACACGCTGTACAGGCTGGTAGCAATAGGCTATACCACATAGTCTGGGGGTGTGTTAGTCTATATCATTCAGGTTTGTCTGTGATGTTCACACAATCATGAAACTGCCTAACGATGCATTTCGCAGAAGGTATCCTGTTGTTAAGGAACAATGACTATGACAAGCTACTGCCACTGAGGACTTGAACTTTGTTTTGGTCTTTCCTAGGCCAACAGGGAGTGAAAGTCAACTTCACAGAGATTGCAACTGTCAGACCCTGGTGAAATCTGAGTGGGTAGTCACCCCTACTTCAGGTATGTTCTTAGGTAATATATGTAAAACACCATGACCTTCTTGGAGAGAGTTGTTCAATCAGTACTATATTAAGAATGGCTCATTATCATGAACAGTTCATGTGAGTTATAAATTTCT